ACAAAACTCGCACACACCGACCGCCACTCAAACAGCCAGCAACTGCCCTAGAGCCAACGCTCGCTGCATTTAATCCGGCGGTGGCGCCGCGCCGCGGAGGTGCGCCGAAGCACGTTTGTGTGACATTGGCGGCGTCACCGCAATGCATGGCGCCGGCCAGCGAGCGAGCCCACTACCCTATTCTATCTCACTTTAACACAGGCTCATAAAAGAGTGTGCCACACCCGTCACCATGGCCACAGATGGCGCTGACTGACACTCCCACGTTGAAATTCGCATATACACCCAATAAAGTGGCTCCCTTCATCAGGGGATGAGTTATACTGACATGAACTTCCAAACTTCGTTGCTGCCGCGTCCCTCTCGCCTTGAAAGATGTTTGCGAGAGTAAGAGGAAACTAAAAAAAAAAACAAAAAAAAACAAAAAAGAGGGAGAAAAAAGACGAAAAATAAAAAAAGAAAAGAAAGAAAGTAAAAAAGAGGAAGAACCACTGTCAACACTGAACATTAGAAATGTAATTCAGACTAATGACTCGAATTGTCATGTTATTATTGCATATGATGATATATTCCCCCAAAACGCCAAATTACAATCTCTCAAATTTTTAAATAACATATTATTAGATTACTTGGAGCATGCGAAAACTAAAAATATAATAGCCACAGATGCTTCCGTAAATAATCAAAAGGCAGGTGTAGGCATTGCCTCTGATTTGCTTGACTGGTTCTTTTCAGTGAGACTGCCTGATTTTACTCCAGTTTTTGAAGCGGAGCTCTTGGCGATTATTTTAGCTCTTCGAAAACTTCCATCAAATCAAAACAATGCAATAATAATGACGGATTCTCTTTCAGTTTGTGCAGCTCTGACAGCTTCAGAGAACTCTCGAATTCTAAGCACATTCAAAACATTAGTACCGCCGCAGTTGAGACTCCTGAGATTACTATGGGTTCCGGGTCACTGTGGATTAAGATTAAATGAATTGGCCGATTCCTTAGCACGAGCCGCACTTGATGGGCCAGTTTTGTCCATACTGCCAGATGTAGAATATATCACGGCTATAAGATATCGAAAATCAGCAATCTCCACTGATACGATAGAAAAAGTAATTACATGGACAGACTATAACCACCTCATGTTTCCATGGCAACCCCACTGGAGTCAGTCCAGAAAGCTCGAACTCTTAATTACTAAATTTCGATGTCGTATCCCCCCCCCCCTAAACCTGTATCTACACAGAGCTGGTCAGACAACATCACCCCTCTGCGCATTCTGCGGAGAAATGGAATCACTAGATCATTATTTTTTGTATTGTCGCCGCTACGAGATACTTAGAAAAAGGTTACTAGTTATGCCATTTCGGAAATTAGGCCTTAGATTGACGGCGGAAACGGCGCTAAGCTTTGGCGCCTCAGCTTTGGGACATTGCCACAGGGATGCTTTCAATGCCGTTTGCGATTATATTCAGGCAACCAAGCGTATACCCTTGTGATCTTCAATCAAAAAAAAAAAAATATTTATTACTCTCAAGGGCAGAGTGAAGTAAACGCAGGTGAGTGGTAAACATAACACCTCAAATCTCAAAATTGCTCAACTTGATTTTTTCTTTTTTTTCGTTTGCTCTTTTTATGTTGTTTTTATTTTTACATTAGTCTTATTATAATACCAATTCATTGCACATAGTTAAAATGATCACAGAAAAACTGCACTACACTTTCTTGGCCAATCCCCCTGAGTGGGTATGAGCCAACCTCCCAGGGAAACAAAAACAACAACAAAAAAAACAACACTGAGAACGAAACCAACTGTCCATGTACGTCCACGTACGGTTCTTATCACGTGTTGTTCAGTTCTCGACGTGTGTCGGGCCACCCAAGATTTAGGCACGCCGTCACGGACCCTCCCAGCACCGCGGCGACAGTCAGCTGTGGTCAGCTGCCAGTTAGTAATAAGTTCACGTGCTACGTGACGCCAAACAGGCTCATAAAGAGTGTGCGGCTGTGTGCCACACTCGCCGCCATGACTACTAGTAGCGCTGACTGACACTCCCAAGTTTAAATTGACATAGATACCCAATAAAGTGGCTGGGGCGTTAGCTGTCGTGGTAGCTCAGTGGTAGCACTGTATGCAGAATGCAATGTGAGCTTGTTATTTGATTTCGCGCTCAAAGCTTGAGCACTTTTCGAGACAATGGTTTGACATGAAAATCTTTTGCCAAGTCGTGTTTGTCAGTCACACTCGTCGCGAAGTTCAGAAAAAGTGGGCGGAGAAACTTCACGAGCACAACCTCCAAAAGTTTTTTATGATGTCCCGGGGTCGAGCACTTGAGTTTGTCACGTTTCTGTAGTATTTGCGCGGCGTTGTCAACGGCAGCCTTCAGTGGCTGATTCATCTTTCTCGCTCTTGCGAGGAAAACTTCCGCGTAATTCTTTAGAGAATTTAGAACCATTACGAGCTCAGTTGACGGATACAGGAGTCCACCTCTGTCCTGGTGCCTAATTAATGCATCCGATGGCGCAGAGGTGTTTGGTGCATGTGCATTGTTCTTCTTCTTTACTGAATCTTGCTTTATAACTACGCGTTCTAAGGCAACCCGATCTCGCTTCAAACAGTAAAGCGCCGCGTTATTCGAAGGTCGCAGGTTCGGATCCTGCCCATGGCAAGTTATCTTTTCACCCACTTTTCTTTATTCAGATTTGCATTACGATTCGGTCTAATATCTTCCCCTATACTTATACTTTCCTTGGCATTATTGTCTGTTAGATCTCATTAATATATATATATATATATATATATATATATATATATATATATATATATATATATATATATATATATTTATATATATATCAAGGAGGATACATAAAACTTGCTGGAGTGGAAGGGACGCTGTGCGAGTGAAGCCAGCCGCCGCCATCTTGCCAGTGGCAAAAAGCGTGCTCAGCGCCCTCGCGAGCTGCTGATTTCGTCCGTTCTTGTTTCACCTTGTCGGCTTGTAAAGACAAATGGTTTACAATGGTTGCCTCTTGCGTCGTTTACAGATGTGCCAACAGGTTGAAAAAAGGTTGTGGCCTCACATTCCACCTGTACGTACGCGAAAACGTCTTCGACATAGCCATTCCGCGCTCGTTACTAAAAGGAGCTATAGCTGACGCGATCTAAGCGTGCAAAGCATAGCAGTCCAGATTTGTTTTACAGATTTACTAAAAATCCCATAACGCGGAGCCTCTGGGAGTGGGCCGTTCGCCGTGAGAAGTAGAATGCGAAAGACTGAGATCACTTCGCCCTGTGCACTTCGCGCCAGAGTGCTTTGACCACCTCTTTGACATTGAAGGGAAGCATGTGAAATGGGGTTATGAAGTGGCATTGAAGGCACTTCAACGTGAAGAAGGGTTGTGGCTCGGAAACAAACTTACGAAAGTCCACGTCCAATGGGAAAAGCAAGAAAATGAAGGTGTGATATGCTGTACAACTGAACGAGTGCCTCAGTTGCCGACGCTTTGGACTTCTGCGAACAAAAGCTAAAGCTGCCGCAATTCAAGGGTGCCAGCACAAGATCTACGTTTATTAGAACTTTTGATGGCTTGTTTGACATCTTAAACTCCAGGAACCCGCTGGCAAGGTCGTACAAAGCGCCCCTTCGGCAAGGGAACGAAGCATTCTGGAAGTCGTTTTTTTTTTTTTTTTTTGTGGAGACTCGAACGTACATAAACGGGCTGAGAGATCCGGCAGTGACAGAAGGACTGAAAAAATGGATTCATTGGTTTTTGGATATGCATGGCAAGCACCGAAAGAATGTTTGACAGACTTGTCAGCCAGGGTCAGCTGAAATACTTACTGACACACAAACTCAGTCAAGACTATGCCGAAAACTTCTTTGAATCAATACGTGGATGAAGCGGCCATAACAACAACCCAACAGCTTCGCAGTTTATGGCTGCATACAAGCGTCTATTGGCTCAGACGGAAGTCACGTCTTCAAGTTCTGGACACTGCTCCCAAGATGTTCTCTCCGTATTGAATGCAACGACTCCTGCAGCCATGGTACATCCAAAAAGCAATCTCACTGACATGCGCTAGGCCCCAGTCCTGCAGCTCGATGACCACGACAATACGCATCGCATTGACTAGCCCGAAAGCTTTTCTGCTTTTGTCAATTCCGTGGTGCCATACATAGCAGGCTTCATTGTTCGAAAGGTCGAACTGCAACTACCTGTGAAGAGTGCATAGCAGCCATGCACTCAGATGAGCTGACACCTTTAATTAAATGTAAGAGGCGAGGTGGTCTTGTTTTACCGTCGCGAGATGTCATTAGCCCCTGTAAAGAAGTCGAGGACTGAGGTGGCTACAGGCTGAATGTGATTCCATCACAACGGTGAAGTCAAGAGCAAGACACCTCATCCTGAAAAATCTATGAGCTTCCTCCGAGAAAAACTGGTTCCATAAACTAGAGCAGCACGTCCTAGACTTTGATACGCTTGATAATCAGGTTTACAGTTTGTGCAGGCAAATCGCTGAACAATACGTAAAAGTGAGGATACAACACATGACGAAGGAAAAAAAAAACCGAGAATCGGTCAAAAGTAAGGTGGCACCACTTTTGACAAGGGCAATAATTTTCAACCACCAGTAGGGCACCTATGTTTTCGATTATGTGTTGTTTGCTTTAGGCATCGCGATTTGATGCATATGCACTTTGAGTTCTCTACATGCCACTTGGCTGCGTACAGGTCGCAATAAACATTTACAACCAGAGTTACTTGTTTTCGTTGCTTTATAAACACACGAGTCACTTCACCCGCAGCGCGGTGAAGCATTAAATTTACAGCGCTCGGCTCTTTTCTGCCACTGGCAACATGGCCGCCGCATGCTCGGCGCGGCTTCACTCTCTCCCGTAGCGGCGCATAGGCGGCTTCCACTCCAGCAAGTTTTATGTATCCTCTTTGATATATATATATATATATATATATATATATAATTGAGCTCGCGACGCGCCCTCTTCGAACATGTATATGGCCTCCGTGTATATAGGTATATAGTAGGTGTTCTCTGGTATAGTTTTGTTCTCTGATGTGCTTGAAGTATGCACGCAGTAGTGAGTTTGGTCAGTTTAGCTGCAACCGTTGCTAAAACCAAGGTGACGCCCGGTTTTCCCGGTGCTTGAAGTACTGCAACCGGCTGCGTACAAGTGGCACAAGCCTACAAGCACTACGAGTTTGCCTTGTGCGCTTGGGAGAAGAGATGGCGCACGCTGCTGAAGTGTCTCCGCTGCTGGGAAATGCTTCCGGCGAAAGTTATTCGTCGGTCTATCCTACAGGTATACGCGACACTTGATTTGATTATGCAATCACCACTAAATGGAAAGTACAGTGAGTCCCCCTTGTCTATGCAAAAGTGGTCTTGTGCGAACTTGTTGCCGGCACTGTGCGAACAGTAGATGCTATTTGCTTTTCGATCTTCCGTGCGTGTCCCGTACTATTTCACGTCCCTTGCGTTTGTTATGAGTCTAATTTAAAAGCGTTGGTAGTGCTGTTGAAGTACCTGCGTCGTGGGGCAGGTTATTTTTTGAAGTGCCGTAGGTTGATAGTAGCGAACTGCGCCCGCAGCGAAGTGGTTAATCCTCGCGAGGTCTCTAATTTTTAATCTGCCCTGCCTTTGCTCGTGAAATTTGACAGCGCTACGTGAGTCATGCCGCCAGGCGACACGCTTCCGGAACTGATGTCGGGCCGGCATTGTAATTTCTGGGTAATTTAATCTTGATCAGGCCGAGCCTGGAGCATAACCAAACTAGTAGCATTGCAAGGGCAGCAATTAAGCGGGGCTATGAAGAGACAATTTAACTCGTAGAATTCCACAACTTTGCAGACTTACATTGCAAAACCTTGTGGGGATGCTTACAAAGTAAGCGCTGATCGCAGCCGTACTTAAAAAGTTCAGTGAACATTTGTGAAACAGCCGGTGTCGGCGGAAAATTAACTTAAGTGTCTGTTACGCCTTTCAAAAATACTTGTAGGAGTCTTAAGGGGTTAAGAAATTATAGATTTTGCTCAATTAAATTCCTTTCATTTCATTTACCCTCAAGGCCATATGGCATTATATATATATCAGAGTGATTACAAGTAGACGAAGAAATAAAGTACAGCATAAAAATAAGTTAGTCAACAAACGAAAGCTCCTTATTATTCAATGTTAGCTGTGTAAGGACCACGACCTCAATAAAATATGAACATAATACATAATAATACATAACATAATACATTGTACACTTTCTAATTAGGCAAAATGAGGTATTGCTTGATGAAAAAGATGGTAATTAGTAATAGTTACTATGTCCTCTGGTAGGTCGTTCAAATCTGTTGACGTAGGAGGTATGAATGATCGATAAAAACACTGGGAGTTGCATAATGCGATGCCAACCTTATGACTAGAGACCGGATCATAGGCAAATGCCTATTTTGCTTCTTGCTTTCCTATCGTGCCACTTTGATATATGAGCATGAATTAGAGGTTAAGGATAACTTTAGTAGTGTTTTTATAGTGCCTATAAATGCCTATTTTGGACTATTCTGCCTAAATTCTTATAAGTGCCTATTAATGCCTATTTTCGAAATTGGTTCTTATATGAATGCTATTTAACCTCAAATTTTGCATTTAAAAAACAGTTGGAGATCGGTATTCATGTTACCGTGCAAAATTGAGCTTTGGGAACTCAATGGGGTGCAACCTATACTCCTTCTCATGAGTTACTATTAGCACTGTCAAGGCTACAAGGTTTCTTAGCCAATAGGAAGGCCGATTGTCTACTATGCATGAATTCATCTACGTGCCGTCGTCTGCTCGGATGCATAGGGAACAGGAGGTGCTTCTGTGCAGCTGCAGTACGATGAACGAATGCGAAACAGTGGAGTGTCATCAGGAGAAAGTAGAGGGTTAAAAAAACATATCCACGTGGTTTTTGTTTTGCTTGTCATTTACTTCTTAAACAGGGTTTCACTAGGTGGCATGAAAAATTTTACTGAGACACTGAATGTTGCTGCGTGCCGAATGGAAAGCTTTATACAGCTAGGATTTTTTAATTGGTTCATTGCAAGCCGCGAGATCATGATGTAATGTGGTGAGCTTCAAACCTTTGCCACTCGGTAGCTGTAGACTTTGCCAGCCGAATTCCTTCCCTGCCCCCTTCAGTATCGTAGCAACTCCGCGCCGGAAGATCACATGATGTAGAGGTATCAACACGTCATGCGCAAGCAAGGTTACATTTGCATGACATGCCCATGCCAGGTCGCGCATGCAAGCGGTGTTATTGTGTCGTTTCAACATTCTCTGTATTTTGCTGGCTGTTTCTGTGGGATGTATCCCTCAATGCCTGCACATTTGCAGAGGCTCGCATGCATCATGTATCCTTGCCAAGATACACAGAATCGCAATTTCTTGACTGCAGCTCTGGCCTTATGGTCTGCATTCTGAAAGTGCAAGCAATTGGTGATGACGAGTCAACCTCGCAGATCTTGCAATCTTTTTGGCAACTAGAAGCAATGGGCATCGCAGATTCAGCGGAACCTTCCCCCCACGAGTCTGTTGCACGATTCCATAGAAGTATTAGCAAGAAAAGTGGCAGATACACTGTGGCGTCGCCTTGGAAGGAAGATAAGAAACCACTTCTAGGGAACAACCGGGAAATCACGCTATCACGTCTACAAAGATTAATATGGAAGCTATCAATGACGGAAGGAATGTTGCAGCGATATGACACAGTAATCCGGCAATATCTGGAGTTGGGTCACGCGGAAGTGACCTTTCAATTTGTTGCTATCGCGTTCATTGCTTCATCTTTCCGGCAAAGCTGTGACTTTTTTCATGAAAGGATTGCTCTCTTTCCTAAGCACAGACAACTATGCCAATTGGTTTTGAACAGCAATATGATATATCTTCCAGCGCACAAAGAACACACATGTACGGAGTATAGAAATGGATGCCATGCACACCGGCATTAATGGTGTCCATTCTTACCGTGTCCATGTGTATTCTTCGTGCACTGGAAGATGGTGGGCACATCTAAAGCCTGTAACCATTAGAACTGCTTCGTGTACATTAACAGTTTTCTTTTTTGAACAATTTTCACTCCTAAAGCGATGGTTTCTTTGCCTTGTTTGTGATAATTTTGCATCCCTTGGTTGGTCTGACTCACTTCTAGCATTCTGTGCTCTGAGATATGCTGCTGCAAAATTTAATTGTAGTTTAGGTTATTACACATGCAAGACAACCAGCTCTGGTGCAAAGCTCCCTACCGATGTGCTGTGGCAGTCGCCTGCATCGCTTAATCTGGCAATGTGTCGAAGACACAGGCAACGATGTTTATGGTTACCCTTTGAACGGACAATGAAGGCAACTATTAAGTCGACGTTGATTTTTGAAATAGTGGTCCAGAAACCTCGTAGTGTAACTTTTGTGCCAATAAGTGCTTATTTTTAAATAAAATCTTGTTTTAGTGGTCTGCATCGGGTTAGCGCACTTCAAATTACCCGTCTCAAACTAAATGTCTCGCGACGCTGTTGCCATGCACAATGTTGCCTGGCTTTACTGCGGGGCCCCAAACACTAGTAGCAGCAAAATCAAAGTAGCGGGAGCCACAGCACCAACAATGGCCATTGAACAATTTCCTGCCATGGCCTCCGAGATGGCAGATGTGGTTTGTTCAACTGGACCCTGTTAGATGGCACGACCTGTCCAGTTTAAGCAGGCAGAAATTGAACTTTTGAACTACTCTCACCATTCCCCATAGTAACGTCCGGCAATTCTTTTTTTCCCATGAATCAAACAGAAATGAACAAGCAGCATTTTATTATGTCTCTTGATGAACAAAAGGTTGTTTATTTAGTGCAGCTAGTTCGATTACTAGTGATTATTTGTAGGCAGTACCTCTCGCGTCATACGTGTAGCGTATGTGTTCTCGTGAATTTACCTTAATTTCTCAATAAGTAGGACACTGCTGTTGATAATATTGACATTCTGGATGTCATACATTGAGCTCTCACTCTGATGTAAGTTGTTATTTGACTTTAGTGTCCCTTTAACTGCTGGCGGGTGGTAGCAGGGAGTGACTGTTCGCCACGTCAAAGAGGAACATTGCACCGATCCTCACCACCCAGCATGCGTATTGATGAAAACCACAATTAAACTTTGCAGCGGAATATCTCAATGCAGACAGGCTAAAAGAATTTTTTTAAGTTGAACTGTGTATAAACGTGGCTGCCTTCAACTTTTCAATACAAACATGTTTGCCGCAATCACTAAAAAGTTAATTAATAAATGATAGTTAATTGGGTGGCTGGAAATGATTATTATTGTCTCACTTTGTGTCTCTGAATATATATGTTATCTGCAAAGGCGGTTTTGATTTCTTTCTAAGGCTGACGTTTAAGAAAAACGATGAAACCTAATTGAATACATATGTAGATTCCCCAGCTCCTTTGCTACTTAAGAATAGTTAGAAAATTCTTATTAAGAAAGGGGTATGTAAAGGAGATGTGCTGTCTTCACTGCTATTCACTGCTTGTCTAAAAGATGTTTTTGAATGACGAGATTGAGAGGAAGTGTGAATGAAGATTAACTGAGGCTATCTGAGCAATTTATGATTTGCAGATGACATCATACTCTTGAGCAGTGATGGTGATGACCTACAAAAAAAAATAATTGAACAATTAAACAAAGGAAACCTCAAAGTAGGCTTGAAGATGAATATGTTGTCGGCAAAGATAATGCTAAGTGAACAAAGGTATGGTAAGTGGTCTGGTGAAAAATCTAGCAGTTCTGTGTACAAATACAGCTGATGCCTCGCCTCGGTGGTCTAGTGGCTAAGGTACTCGGCTGTTGACCCGCAGATCACGGGATTGAATCCCGGCTGCGGGGACTGCATTTTAGATGGAGGCGGAAATGTTGTAGGCCCGTGTGCTCAGATTTGAGTGCACGTTAAAAAAACCCCAGGTGATTGAAATTTTCGGAGCCCTTCACTACGACGTCTCTCATGATCATATGGTGATTTTGGGACGTAAACCCCACATATCATTCAATACAGCTGATGAGTGAAGCCCCTTAGAAATGGGACTCAAATGACTATGCTGATGATCTTGCTCCTGGCTTTCATGAAGGGGGTAGGTTGGGGAGTGGGTGTGGAAGTGTCTGTTGCACTGTGTGGCAAGAAGGACTGTGTAAGTGAGTGCGCGGCACGCTCAGTGCGAGCTAGCTCAGGCACTGGAGCAACCACTGGACGGAGTGGATCCTTAAAATGCCACAGGGTCAAATTCGACAGGGCGAAACTATAGTTTCGTGTGTTCGCCAGTCCGAGGGGAGAAGGCGGAGACAAAGAAAAGAGGAGAGAGAGACAGGTGGGAGAGGGGTTCGAGCGGTAATGCGGCAGGGAGCATTGACTGTGGTGATGGCGGGGTGCGAGCTTAAAGAGCTTTGCTCCTTATAAAAAAAAAAAGAAAAGATTTTTTTCATGATAAACAGACCTTTAAATCTGAGGAAGTGTATGTCAGTCTAGGCCAAATGTAACGGAAGTCTACTTATGTAAAGCAAATCCACCAAAGAATAAAGATGAGCTGTTGCGCTTATGGTAGGCACTCTAAGCTCCTGACCAGTAACTTATCACTGCCATGAAAGCAGAGGTCATGCAATCATTATATTTTGCCAGTTATAACATATGGGGCAGAAATCTGGAGAATAACAAACTTAAAAAGAAGCGTTGGAATGCCCTGTGTGTGTAATGGAACGAGAAATTATAGTAGGGTTAACATTAAGAGATAAAAAGAAAGCTGAGTTGATCAGAGAGAAAACATGAGTAGTTGATAGCTTAAAAAAAGTGGGGATAATATATATATATATAGCCCCGCCGCGGTAGTCTAGTGGCTAAGGTACTCGGCTGCTGACCCGCAGGTCGCAGGATCGAATCCCGGCTGTGGCGGCTGCATTTCCGATGGAGGCGAAAATGTTGTAGGCTTGTGTGCTCAGATTTGGGTGTACGTTAAAGAATCCCAAGTGGTCGAAATTTCCGGAGCCCTCCACTACGGCGTCTGTCATAATCATATGGTGGTTTTGGGATCTTAAACCCCACATATCAATCAATCAATATATATAATCAAGAACTTTTTCTGTGGATCGAGTGTTTTGTATGCGTTAAAAAACGACAGAGGAACGTGCGAAAATGTTTATTACGTCCAACATTTTGGTAGGAGGACCTGCCTTTGTCAGAAAAGGCAGGCCTTCCGGCTGAATTGGAAGTAATAAACGTTTTTGCATGTTTGTCCCTTGTTTCTCAGTGCGCATATATATATATATATATATATATATATATATATATATATATATATAGTGGGAGTAATAATTCAATGGGCCAGTTAGTCTTCGTGAAGGTATGGGATATGGCACAACGGGAGCGTTGTCAACAAGGGTAAATATATTTATTTTCCAACAGTTTCGGGAGGGGTCTTCCCTTCATCAGGGGATAACATCAGTATAACTCATCCCCTGATGAAGGGAGGACCCCTTCCAAAACTGTTGGGAAATAAATATATTTATCCTTGTTGACAACGCTCCCGTTGTGCCATATATATATATATATATATATATATATATATATGCATTGAGTATATATGGGCAGTTAAAATAATGAATGGATACCATGAGATCAGAAATGTAGCCGTGGACTGCAATGTAGTTGGTGGGTTTAGAAATTTGTGGGCGTAAAGTGGAATCTGCTCGTGTATTGAACATGGCAGGCTGCCGCTGATTATGATAAGGGGTAGACAAAAAGCTGTCAGTTTTAGAATATAACATAGCCGATTCTAATTGATAATTTCATACTTTCCATCTTTAGACTACTTCTTAAGTACAGCCAAACAATAAGACAGTGCAACATGATAATTACACTCATAATTTTATGCTTGTGCTTATATTACTAGCAGATTGTCATGTTTCACCTAGGTAGCCAATATGACAAATGTGGAAATGGATGTTGCATATAACTTACTTGTTAGTAGTACTTGTTTTAACTTAATGTCAATAAGGTGATCATTGCGGCAATTTGGTTCATGTTGAAGACTTGGATATGCATTGCTTTAAACAATGTTATCTTAGATTAAACCTTGAATACGCATGCTCGAAATGGGATCCTGGTCATGCTATCTAACAAATATAATAGAAAAGGTACCAAATTGAATGGCTTGTTTCATCCTTCACAACTACCATCGAACTGCTAGCACCACTAATATGAATCAAACACTTGGCATTCCCCTTCTTTCCTCTTGTAGAAAGTTGTCCTGTTTTGTCTTCTTCATAAGATGTACTATCAAAAGGATGAGCTGAAGTCCAGATGCATTGCACCAGCATCTTATATTTCCTATGTGTCGATCATCCTTTCATTGTTCATGTATCTTCACAGCGCACAATCGCCTGTTCATATTCATTTTTGCCAAGAACATGCCACAAGTGGAATCGCTTGCCTGCGCCACTAGTCACTATCGGAGAGAAAAAATTGGCCCCGTATCTGCATTTAATCTGCAAATGTCGCCGAAAGACGATAGTCTTGCGTGTGGAGAGAGTGAAGAAGACATTTATTTGATGTTCTGCGCAAGAAAATCTGTGAATAGTATTCTGGAGACGCTGCGTTAGAGTGCCTCGAACGTGCAGCGGAGGCAAACGAGCGCATCAAGTCACGTCACATGTGAGAAATTAGCGCCATCTGGCAGTTTTCTTAGAAAACAAAGCGCGTGGCTCTGAGACGGGTGTGCGCACCTATTTCAGAGGTGATAAGGTGTAGAACGCAAGGCGACGGGTAGGTGCCACCACTGTCTCGTCTTAGCAAAGCGTTGGAAACGCTCGCCTGTCCGAGCAAGCGCTGCATGGTCAGCACAGCGTGATAAGCGCTATGGTCTTTAAAATTGCTTATGTATGCCTTTTCCAGTAAAAGACACACATGCAGAATATATACGTGTTGTTATGGTGCCCCAGACATGCTCAATAATTGCTTTTTAATTGACAATTACCCAAGCATGAACGCTCAATCTTGGTAGACGAAGAAAGTGCTTAACAGTGCAAACGACAGGAGCGAATAGAAGAGACTAGAACAGAGCGCTCTTCTATCCCCTCCTGTCGTATGCGCTGTTAAGCACTTTCTTCGTCTACCATGCAGTACTAACCAGCCCAATCAAGCACCCTGTTAAAGCTCAATCTTGAGCAACATTGGTGGGTGCTGCGGATGGGGTCGGCCGTTTCAAGTACCCGTTGCCATAAACAGACAAATGTACAGGCAGACGGACCAAAATTTTTGCGTCGAAGGTCCCCAAGAAAGACTATCGTCTTTAAAAGATGTACAGACAAGGACACGAGGGTGAAGGGGACAAAACGCAAAATCCGTTTAAGCTTGTCCTGTTTACCTCTGTGTCATTGTGTCTGCATCTACTTCATCGTTATTGTTTCAAACAGCGCTTATCGAAGTCTTGTCCTTTTTTTATTTATACATTTATCAGTGTTGGCAAAAATTGGCCATGCCCGTCTTTGTCACAGCTTCCGATTTGTCTACCACGCTCATGCACTCGGATCTTGCAGTGTATTTCACTTCCAATGCTTGCTTGAAGATATTTCTTTGCACTTTTCACTCCTTTCACTCTTGTCCGTCGAGATAAGTATATTTGAGCACTGTGTACGTGTTAGAAGAAAAGATTTTTTTTTAATATGGCATATTTCTTTCATTTATATTATGTGAACATCAGAGGTAAACTGTGGTTGTATTTAATGCGATATGATGATAATTCTATGTGCAGGTAAATTGGTATAAGTTTTATTGGTATAAATACCAATTGCAGAAATTTTGCACCATTGTGAAAGGACATAAAAACATTGGTGGATGTTACAGTGCAACACTTTTGTATGCAATACAAACTGTTTTATTTCAGCTCCATCTCGAGAAGACTCCCCACCTCCGTCATATGACGATGTCAGTTTTATGCCTACCAGGGTAAAGGCATGTGATGTTTGCAACTACCAGATTGACATAGTAAAGCATCCGAACGACTATGTTGTTAAGTGTCCACGCTGCAGTGAAGTTACAGTAAGTCAACGCGCAATTTGCATGAATTTACTTCTAAAGTATACATCTTAGACTTAATTTTAACTGCTTGTGTCAATGTACCTATTGTTTCTTTTGAGCTAAAGAGTTGCATTGTTAATGGAGTAATGGCATGAATTTAAGAGATCTTCATGTTGTTCATGTCTTTATGTTCGATATTAAGAGATTGTTTCACAGTGATGGTGTCAACACAGTCTGACATAGATCTGAGAAACGTGGGAAGAGCACCTTGTGACATACTAGTCGCAGTTCTGTCATGCATTGTCTGTTGCGCACGATGGTGAATTGTTGTCTAGCTTCTCCAACAGTGATTTTTGACAGTGTGTTCACTCATCATGATAATATTCATTGCATTAGGGCTGGCTTGCTGACGACAAAAACTTTGCCATGGAACTAAAATATTTTATACCTGCTTCCTAGTTTTGGTGTGTGGAGATGGTCAACACTGCAAGCCAACGAAACTAAAATGGCTCATTCGCGATGCGTCACCATTGAAGGGGCCGCGCAACACTTTTCCAGCGTGGTCAGAAGACACTGTCGATTGATAGTCGTGGCTCCTCAGAATTTGGAGCCAAAAGTTACAGCACAGCCCGTGGCCTGGAATTTACAATTAATTCTTAAAGTCAGTTATAAATTGTTCTCTCTTCTTTCAACAAAGGATGCAAAATGCCCAAATGACTGCGCCTTATACTCAAATTTGCAGCCACACGTTTGAAGAAAAAAAAAAGTCTAAATGCTCAAGGTCATGACGCACGTGTGACACAATTTTCTCCTGTGCCATTCCTCTATACTTAGCTTCCAGTGTACTCCTTGGATTGAGGGAAGACAGAAAGTAATTAGCATAATGTGTGACAAATTTCTGATACTTTCACCCTATTTGATGGATTCTAAAAATTGTGGTGGTCGATTCATGAGGCAATAATTCCTTTGATGAAGCAATTCAATGGTTATTTAGAAAAGAGTTGCAGGGCCCCTTCTAAGGGTATGCTACTCAAGAAATTAGATTTTTTGCTCCCAGATAAATATTTTTTTGTTTTCACTTGCTTTCACGAGTTTAGGTTCTCTATATTCATCAAAAAATCTAGGTTATAATTTAACTTGAAGTAAGGTAAAATCACTTTCAAAGAGCACAAGGTGCCTGTTAAAAACTAACCCTGTATTCAGAAACGCTGCTTGACTTGATGTTGACTTGCCACCGACTTCAATCAATGCAGCACAAACCCGTTCTGAATGCGCTGTCTTTAGGCGGTGCCAAGGCAGCACAAATGCACAGATGCATTTGAAACACTCTGATCGAAGGCAGCTTCAAGTTCAAGTCGAGGAGCGTTTTTGAATACGGAAGTAAAATGAGCCTAATGTCTAGAGTCCCCTGTAAATTGTCACCTGGCTACTTGCCATTGCATTTCATATGAGGAGTTCACAGATGTCGCATGCTCAAAATAGCCAAGATTACTAAGCTAACATGATTGAAGAAATCATTTTAAAAAGCATATGTTTGCCACAGAGACGAGCTTTTATTTCTATGTCTAAAATGCACTTTTTTTCTCAAGACGCACTTTTTGGAATATTGTTGAGTTTGGACATCATGTTTTAGAAGGTACTTATGGCCAGATTGGGATGAAATGTTTGTCACATTTCTCAACATGTGAAGAGTACAATTAGTATCTTCTTTAAAATTTGATATCTCTCATACCATTATTATTAAGTTAAAGTAAGCATTTAGTATGAGCTGATCATTTTAACACTTCTCACATTACAACTTTTCTTCATTAAAATACTTTATACTTTGAGCTTTGTTGCCCTGCCGCCGTGGTCTAGTGGCTAAGGTTCTCGGCTTACGACCTACAGGTAGCGGGATCGTATCCCAGCTATGGCGGCTGCATTTTCGATGAAGGCGAAATTGCTGTAGGCCCGTGCGCTTTCATATGGGTGCACGTTAAAAAACCCCCCGTGGTCGAAATTTCCCGGAGCCCTTCACTACGGGTTCTCTCATCTCGTATAGTAGTTTTGGGATGTTAAATCCCACATATCAATCAATCAAAAAGAGCTTTATTATTATTATTATTATTATTATTATTATTATTATTATTTATACAATACTGCAGACTATTTGATTCCAAGCAGGAGGGCTATATTAGAATAATAGCGATCGTAAAGATTAAAAAGTAACTAAAGGAAAAAGTTAAAACTAAGTAACATATACCCTGAAGATAAATGAATAACAATATGCATAAAATGACATCAAAAGCATATAATGATAGTAAGAACACCTTGCATGTGCATTAACATATGCTTATACGCCGCAAGACACTGTCACACATTGTCAGGGTACAAAACGAAAACTATGAAACTTTGTATAAAGCTCATTACATATTTCAAATTAACATAAAGCACTTATGTTAACAGCTAAAATTTCATTGCCCTAGGCTACTGATTACAAAAACTTTTCTTTGTTGTAGCTTCTGCCCCTGAAAAGTTGAAACTAGTACAGCAGTATTGCTGGAGGCCATTTTATGTAAGCAGCAGCATACTTGTTTGAAAATTGTCATAAATAGTGTCTTATCTTGGCACAATATCATATTGCCTATTCATAGCCACATTTTCAACTAGCCTGTGCTGCGATATTCTTTCATCATGTGTGTCCGTCCATCTTAGCTCCTATGCTGAGTAAATGTATTTTTTGGAAGAATCTTGAAATGCCATGAAATATTTCTCAAACACTGAAAAAGAAAATGTTGCATTCATGATGTTGCATAGAATTTGTTAGTATTATAAAGTGCTGCTCATTCATATTTCCAACATTGCTGCATCTCAGAAAAAGTTTTTCGGAAATCCCCAAAGTGGAGAAAGATCACTGAAAGGGAAAAGTTATAATCTGCATGATAGTAGCATGATGCTTTGATGTTTGCAAACGTCAATACTTGCTCACATATGCCCATTAGGGGCGTCTGCGCGAGCAGGCATTTGGTGTGTAGCAACACCACGGACCCGAGTCAACGAGTGGGGGGGTTCGACTTTCCCCACGCTTCGCCGTGCATGGTTTAGCCGTGTCCAGGGGAAAAGGGGATTCTGGGGGGGTTGAGCCAATGCCGGGTGATTTGACCTTTAAGGCGGTGGAGGCAACACACCCCTTTGGCCCCGGCTTCACGTAGACGGCACCCCTGGGCTGACCCACCGAGAGAAAATCGGCAGTCGCCATTTCCTATCTCTCTCTCTCTCCACATCTTAGTCTTTATCTCTCGATTATACACAGGGTCCCCAAATTTCATTCTAGACGCCCCAATCACGGTCGAGGAGCTCTATTCAGCCGCTCAGATCTTTAAAAAAAAAAAAAAAATGCTTTCCCGGGCCCTGATGGTGTCACCAATGCCATGATCAGGAATCTTGACAGAGGGACACTACAATATCTCACAGATTACTTTAACAGCATAGTTTGGACGCCAGAAGGAGAACTACCTGCACGTTGGAAAAAGGCTAATATAGTTGTTATACCCAAACCAGGCAAACCCAAAACACTCAATAACCTTCATCCTATTTCATTAGCTTCGTGTCTGGGGAAGCTGTTCGAAAAGGTCATGCTGCAGCGACTTGAAATGCATGTTGAGGAGCAGCAGCTCATGCCAAATATGATGTTCGGCTTCCGCAGAGGGGTCTCGGCACTGGACATCTTTCTTGTACTCAAGGAGAAAGTATTGAATCCACCTTCAGGCAGTCTTGACAACTTAGTCGTGGCATTGGATGTGCACAAAGCGTTTGACACTATCTCTCACGAAATGATATTGCAAGGATTGGAAGATATTGGATGTGGCCATGTATTTACCACTACGTTCAAGCTTTTCTGCGCAGTTGCGCTGCAACTCTCACATTGAGTTCACTCAAATCCAACCCCTTTAGTATGCCCAATCGAGGCACACTGCATGGCTCTGTATTGTCTCTCTTTATTTTTAATGTCGGGCTACGCAAGCTGGCCATAATGCTCACTCATGAACCCCGCCTTGGCTTTGCAATGTATGCAGACGATATTGCCGTGTGTATAGCGGGGTTTAGAGGCGAGATAGCGACGACAACGAAGAACGCGGATTTGCTCGAGAGGCGCAGAGCAGGCGAGTGAAGAAGACGACAATCTTAGCGGCCTTCTCTGAGAGCGTCTCTACAAGTTCCACTGTCCGTGTTTTTAAATAAACCCTCTGTAATTTATAACTCGCGACACTGGTGGAGGAGCTGGGTACTACCACCTCATGGTCAGCACCCCTGTGAGAAGCCCCGACTCCAGCCCTACGAGACAGCCGCGCGTGAAGACGCCTGTGCACCACTCAAGCTGTCGCCTTCAAGGTCTTGAACCAGAATTTGGCCTTTTAGAGGGAGCAACACTCCCGACAGCCACCCCTACTCAAGAAATGGCAAGGAGTCCTGCACAGGTGACGGTTCAGAATATGCGCATTCCTAAACCATTTCATGTCCGGCCGAACGAAGATGCACAAGACTGGCTTGAGCAGTTTGAACGGGTAGCTAAATCGAACTACTGGAGTCTCGATGGAAAGCTCTTCCACTTATTCTTCGCCCTTGAAGACGGCGTGAAGACGTGGTTTATGAACCGGGAGGCAACATTGACGACATGGGAGGAGTTTTGTCGTCGGTTTCTTGACACCTTCGGTAACGCGGACCGACGCGAAAACGTACGCCTTCTTGAAGGACGCACCCAACAGCTGCATGAAAGCGTTGCCATGTTTGCTGAGGTTATGGTGCGTCTGTGCCACCGCGCAGACCCCAACATGCCCGAGGCTCAAAAGCTAAGCCATCTCATGAGGGGCGTCAAAGAGCAGCTGTTTGTTGGTCTTGTGCGCGATCCGCCAACAACAGTGGACGAGTTCACCAGGGAGGCCACCGCAATAGAGCGTGCGCTGCAGCAACGGTACCGACAGTCTGATTGCCCGGCCACCGGCGCAGCTACAGGCGCCGCATTTACCGCAAACGACGAGTTT